GATTCCTGTTGAGGTGGAGCATGTTGATGTTGAATTGCTTACCCCAGATGAAGTCGAAGAAGACGCAGAAGATGCTGTCGAAGATGAGGAGATTAATAATGACTACCTGCTAGCAAGAGACAGGTCGAGGAGAGTCATCAAGCCACCTCAGAGACTTGGGTATGCAGATCTTATAGCTTATGCCTTAATCTCTGCTAGTGAGGTTCTAGATGAAGAACCTAGAGACTATAAGGAAGTTATGAGGAGTCGAAAGAAGACTGAATGACTGAAGGCCATGGATGATGAGATGAAATCTCTTCATGATAACAACACCTGGGAACTGATCAAGAAACCTGCTGGAGCCAGGTTAGTCAGCTGTAAATGGATTTTCAAAGTTAAGGAAGGAATCGAAGGAGTGATGTCGAAGAGATACAAGGCAAGATTGGTTGCTAGGGGGTTCACTCAGAAAGAAGGTATCGACTTCAATGATGTGTTCTCTCCTGTTGTGAAGCACAGATCCATTCGAATGTTGCTTGCCATGGTGGCCCAGTTCGACCTTGAACTGGAACAGATGGATGTGAAGATTGCATTCTTGTATGGTAATCTAGATGAAACAATCCTGATGAGGCAACCTGAAGGGTATGTCGAAAGGGGGAAGGAAGATTATGTGTGCAAACTGAATAGATCTTTATATGGACTGAAACAATCTCCTCGACAGTGGAATAGGAGATTCGACAAGTTCATGGCACACATAAGTTTCATCAGAAGCCAGTTCGACCACTGTGTTTACTTCAGATTTCGACCGGGTTATTCATTTGTTATTTTGTTGCTCTATGTGGATGATATTCTAATAGCAAGCAACAACGTCGAAGAGGTAATGAGGGTGAAGGTTGAACTCAATAAAGAGTTCGAAATGAAGGATCTGGGAGCTGCGTCCAGTATTCTTGGGATTGACATCCGGAGAGATAGAAAGCATTCGAAATTATGCTTATCTCAAGAGGAATACCTACAGAAGGTTCTCAAAAAGTTTGGTATGTCGAATTCAAAGCCTATTGTGACTCCGACAAACCCTCAATTCAAGCTGAGTATAGATCAGTGTCCCAACACTAATGTTGAAAGAACTTATATGAATAGCATTCCATATGCTAACATAGTAGGTTCTTTGATGTATGTTATGGTATGTACTAGACCCGACATAGCATATGCAGTAAGTCTTGTAAGCAAGTACATGGAGAATCCTGGAAAGGCTCACTGGCAAGCATTTAAGTGGATTTTAAGGTACATAAATGGGTCTCTGAATAGAGTCCTAATTTATGGTGGAGCCTTGGGTGAAGATAGTAAAGCAGCAATCGATGGATATGTCGACTCTGATTATGCAGGTTGTATGGATTCCAGAAAATCTATCTCTGGATATGTGTTCACTATGTTTGGGACAGCAATCAGTTGGAAAGCAACACTTCAGAAGGTCGTTGCCCTATCAACCACTGAAGCGGAGTATATTGCCCTAACTGAAGCTGTGAAGGAAGCATTGTGGCTTGAAGGTTTTGCAAAGGAGCTAAAACTTCAAGGTCGAGTTATCACTGTTAAATGTGATAGTCAAAGTGCAATACACCTGTCGAAGAATTCAGCCTATCATGAGCGAACCAAGCACATTGATGTGAGGCTGCATTTTATCAGAGGGGTAATCGAGCGTGGAGAAGTCCAAGCGCTGAAGGTTTCGACAGATCATAATGTTGCTGATATAATCACCAAGACGTTGCCCAGTTGCAAGTTTTTCCACTGTATGCAGTTAATAAAGCTGCATGAAGAAAGCTAGTTTCTTGATGTTATAGAGTTAGATCCAAGGTGGAGATTTGTGAAATGTTGGATCGAACTCTAGTGTTGTCGAAGTCTGTTCGCAAGTAATACGTGTTGTAGTCGAAGTTTATTCTAACATGCATTAGTCAATATTGCTAGGGTTGTTAGCATGTTGAATTGAGCCTTGCTTGTAAGCCCAATTGTTTAAGTTAGCTTGTACCCTAAGTTAGCTTGTAATGGGTAATTGTTAAAAAGCCCATTAGGTTATTAGTGTGCTATTTTATTATAAATAGGATGCTAGTTTCTCAATCTTGACAAAAGAAAAAATAGGAAGATAAAATCTTAATTTCAAGGGAGAGAGGTTATTTTGTTATTCTTGTATACTTGTAATCTTGTTCTAAGAGAAAGGAAAGAATAGCAGTTTAATAACCAATCCTTGTTGTTCCTTGTTGCTTTCTTCTTTATTAACTCTAACCCTTGTGTGTTTCTTGATAAAAAACCGTTTATACTTTATTTAAAGGTATCCGATTCACAACAAACAGAATTTAAAAAACAGAATTTAAAAGTAAGAATGTTATGTAAGAAAAAATTTAAAAGTATAATTAGATTTTATATTTTTATATTTGTATTTATATTTTTATATTTTTATAGTAAGAAAATATTTTTAGAAAAAGTATTTAGCAAATAGAAGTATTTTTTAGAAAAAATTACTTGTAAAAATATGTTATATAGATTTATTAAAAACACAATTGATAAAAGAAATTTATTTTAAAAAATAGAATTTAAAACAAAAATAATTCGTAAAATGTATAATATTAAAACAAATAGAAAAAATATTAATTCGCAAATAATTAATATTAAATTTATTTTTATTATGTTTAAATATATAATTAGATTTTATATTTTTATATTTGTATTTATATTTTTATATTTTTATTGTAAGAAAATATTTTTAAAATAATGTTACAAAATTAGATGTTATTGTATAATATGAAGTAATATGAAGTAATATTGAAGTAATATTTTTATTTATAATAGGTTAAAACAATGTGAAAAGAATTATAGTATTTTGCATATAGTAAAATCATATATTTAATTAAAATGATATATAATGATAGTACAAATGTGTAGTATGAAATATTTTCGTTACTATCGTAGTTGGATGTACGATAGAACGTTACCAGGCAGACGTAGACTTACACCGAGTTTTGAGGAAGGAGTTAAAGGGTTTATCACGTGGGCATTTGCACAAGAATGTTGGCGATTATAGAAAAGTGGACCGAACTTTATTTCGAAGACTCGATAATGGGGAAGGAGGATCTCGTCCGGCAGAATTGACACCAGAAATATTGGCAACAGTGAGAGAGTTAGCTCTATATGAGGCGAGACGAGAGGCGGAGGCACGTGAGGCGGCCCTAAAGGCCGAAATGGAGAATATGAGAAATAGGAAAAATGTTGAAATGGAGGAAATGAGGAAGCGGCAATCCGACATAGAGGCGCAAATGCGATATTTTTTTGCCTCACAATCGAATTATTCTGTCCAAAATGATGAAGAAGACGAAGATGTTATATTTAGTAGTGACGGTGAATAACTTTTTTATTATTATTATTTACGTTTGTGACGTGAATATTACGTGACAATTTTTTTAATTATTTTTTATTTTGTGACGTGAATATAATGTGACTAAATATTTATATCATTTAATAATTGTATATATTAAAAAAACTAAAATTTTTAATTGAAAATCATTTAAATTTTTTATATTTTATTATTTATTAATTTGTTATATTCATTAATATTTAATTTTTTTATTATTAAATTAAACAATGAAGTGAAAACAAAGTCACTAAAACTTAAAACAGATTTTAGTTTGTGGCATGGAAACCATGTCACTAATTAGTATCATGGAAATCACATGGAAAAACTTGTATGCTGCAATACTGAACACGCTGCAGGGACTTTGGGAAAAGTGATTTGCGACGTGATTTTCACGTGGGAACTTTTTCAACTAATTTGGTGGTTTGTGGCGTGTATTCCATGTCACAATTTAGTGACGTGAATTTCACGTGGAAAAATGTTCTCACCGTTGCTTTTTCGACGTGCTCTACCCATGTCGCAAATTTTGTTCGGTGACGTGGTTTTTAGCTTAATGACGTGAGTACCATGTGGAAAATAGCAATATTTCTTGTAGTGCATAACCTTGTAGCTTCAACACTATAACAATAACAACTTGTTTTCGTTCTTTATAAATCCGACGTCAACATCGATCTCGCAACCGCATCACTACCGTCGACCCTTCTTCTTACAAGCTCAACAACGGCCCATCTCTCTTTCCTTCTCTTCATTTTCTTTTTCTTTCTTTTTTTTAATTCATGGTGTTTTCTTTGTTTGTGTGGAAAAAGAATTGTTAACTTAAGTTTATGTTGTGTTTTAAACTAGAAATGATTTTGTCTCTTGGTTAGTTTTCTTTTCTTTTCCTTGTATATTATTGTTTTGCACGTGTTGTGCGTGTTATATGATGTTTGGTGAGTAATGTGTGCGTGTTATATGATGTTTGGTGAGTAATGTGTGTGTGTATAGTATCATGTGTGTGTATGTGTGTGTCATATCATGCATATATTGTTGTTGTTACTGGTATCCTATGAACAAGAGAGGCAAGTTTGTTTTGCATAGTCATTTTTGGTGTGTGTATATGCATGTTTCAATGTCATATTGATCTAGCACAATTTTTCCTTGTTTGAAAGAATGTTGGTTTAGTTAGTTTTAGTTAGTTTATTTAATGGTTGTTAGAAATTAGTTATATTTTTGGTATGCTAGTGTAGAAACAGTACATAATTTCGGTTTGTTGCTTAATTCATTTTAGTTATTTTTTTAACAATCTACATTATCAATCTTTATTTTTGTTGGAAATAAGAGAATATATTAACCAAAAAACAGTCATAATACAAGCCGATCGCAAACGACCCAGGCCTCCAATGAACAAGATAAACCAAAAAGAAAGAAAGCCTTTAACTCAGACCTTATTGCAGAATCTAGCTAATTTCTTATCCATCCCTACTCTACTCAGCACCATATCAATAACAATCTTGCTTTGAAGCTTCCATTTGCCCCATCCCTGAAAAATGATGTTGTTCCTCACATTCCACACATGGTAAATTGATTCAGCAGCGAACATTTTTATTATCTTGCTCCTACTGTTCTTTTCTTTAGTTTGTTGAGTGATTCACCCTTGCTCGATAGTCCAACCACCCGAGTTATGGTTATCACTTAGCCAAGCCAACACCTGTTCCCATAAGACTTTTGTATAATCAAATTCAAAGAATGGGTGGTCTAGACTCTCCTGCATGCTACAAAATATGCATATACCATCTGATGTCATGCCAAATTTCATCATTCTTTCCTTGGTGAGTAATCTTCTGTTACAGGCCATCCATATGGTGAAAATGGCTCCAGATCTCGCTTTGTTATTGAAGAGCATCTTTGTCCATTTCACTTTAGGTTTTGTTCCTCTTAAAATCTAATACATCTTTCTGGTGCTATATCCCCCAGCTTCTTGAAAATCCTTCCAAGTTTCAGAGTTGACCATAACGTCTTGATTCTTGAATATGGCCTTCAAAATCCACGAGTCGTGGGTTGCTGGTTGATAGTTTCTTGGGTCCACCTATTTCAGATAGTAAGCATGCAGTCATTTGATCCTTAGCTTATCTTTTTTCTCCCAAATGTTCCAAAGCAATTTTCCAATGGTAGCTTTATTCCACTCAATTAGAGAAATCATGTTTCATCCACCTGCTGCCATAGGATCACAAACATGGTCCCATGAAATTGGAGCTTAAACTATCACTCTCCTTGCCTGTCCAGAGGAATCTTCTGCATGATACTTCAATGTGTCTAATGATCTTCTTAGGTAATGGAAATATTTGCATCCAATAGTTAGATATTGCAAACATTATACTTTTAATTAATTGTAATCTGCCAGCATACAACAGCAACCTGGTACTCCAATGTTGAATTCTCTTCAGCATTCTTTCTATTAGAGGTTGGCAGCTAGCTATCGAAAGTTTCTTTCTATGAAGAGGAACTCCAAGGTATTTAAAAGGAAGGCTTCCCAATTTAAAACTGGTTACCTGCTGCATAATTTTTTGAGTATCTGTGTCCACACCATCAAGATACAGTTTACTCTCTGGATTACTAATGTTCAACCTAGTTGTATTAGCAAAAATCCTGAATTTATCCATAACCAGTTTCAGAGATTCAATGTCTCCACGTGCAAAAACTAATATATCATCTGCAAAACAAAGATTAATGATCCTAAGTTTTTCAGACTTTGGGTGAAAGTTGAAGTTAGGATTCAAGTGCAACCCTTGAAGCAACTTGTGGAGGTATTCCATAATCAACACAAAGAGGAGGGGAGAGATAGGGTATCCTTGTCTCAACCCTCTCGTTACTTTTAAGATACCTGTAGGGACTCTATTTAGAGAGAATCTATAAGAGACACTAGATACACAAGCCATTATCCAATTGGTAAACATGTTTGGAAATCCCATTTCAATCATATTTCGAGACAGGGCTTGCACATTATCAATCTTTCATTTTAATTGTTTTAATTTTTAATTTATATGATATCTAAAATACTAAAAAAAAATAGTCTTTTTTTATAAATATTTTCATTAAGTTTTGTGATATTATAAAAAATGTAAAAAATCATTTAATTATTAATTGATTTAAATATTTTTATTTAATATTGATTAATTAAATTATTAATTAATCTTATTAAATATTTATATATAAATTGATTAATAATTCTCTTGTTGCCCGATTCTACTTTGTGACTGATTTGCTTCCATGTTTTGAGCTTATTTTCCTCGATTAATCTTGATCCTTTTCCTTGATTAATTGATGATGTTTCTCTTGATGTCTTTCCTTGATTAATTGATGATGTTTCTTCTTGATGTTTTTCCTTGTTGAAATTGATTTTACACGATGCTTTACCGTGAATCTTGTTGATTTTTTCTGTGGATATTACGCGATGCTTTGCCACGTATTTTTATTGCTTTACTATTTGTGATATTTTGCCACATATCTTTGTTGCTTTATTATTCATGAATTTTTGCCACGTATCTTTGTTGCTTTATTATTCGTGATGCTTTGCCACGTATATTTGTCATATTCTGCTACATGATGCTTTTCCATGTACTGTTGTTGATTTTATCTTTTGATTTCCATGATGTTTTACCATGCGTCTGAGGATTGTATTTGTTGATTCACATGATGCTTTTCCATGTGTACTCTATTGATTTTATGTGTTGATGATACCATACATGATGTTCTTGCCATGTGCTATATACCTTATTGATTATTCATACATGGTGATTTTCCATGTACTTCATTGATTATATCTGTTGTTTTATCACAATACTTTGTCGTGTACTTTTTTTTATATCATTTAGATTGATTCACATGATGCTTTGCCATGTGTGCTTTATATGTATCAGTTACTTTCCTATATGATGCTTTGCCAATTATTTCTTGATTCCATTTATGGTTTGATCATAATTTGATTCTTAATGACTACATAATATTTTGTCATGTACCTTTGTCGGTTCTTTGTTGATGTTCTCACATGACATTCTTGCCATATACTATGTACTTTGTTGATTCTCTTTGTTGCTTTGGTGTTGTTAATTACATGACGATTTTCCATGTATCAGTTACTTTCATACATGATGGTTTGCCATGTATCTTTTGCTTTCTCTTGCACTTGTGACCTATTCCAAGGGAAGAGATTATATGTTGATTTATTGTCATTGTGCATGTTCCTTGTATGTTTATTGCTTTGCCTTGCCTGTCTTTGTCTTTCTTTCCCCATCTTTTCACCTTTAGCAAAAAAAATTATCCAAAACATAAATTTTTCAAGAGATTCCTATAGGATACTACAGATGCTTAGGGTGCTAGTACATTCCCTTAGTATAACCAACACTCGTACCTTTGATCTCTCTTTGCTTAAATTTAGGCCTTGCTTTCTGCTTTTCATGTTTACTGAGGGTTTTTGTTTGATATTTTCTCCCTTCCCTTGGAAAAATAAAAGTTCGGCAATGACATATTTGTTTGCGAGTCAAGCTAATCCAATAGGTTTGGTCTCTGATTCTCACCGCGACAGAAAATGGCAACTTTACTAGGGAGCATTGTTCAGTGGGTTAAGCCTAACTTGTTATATTTGTGTTGCTATTATTGTTTGCTCTGTTGCTTGGGCTTTTTTTGTTTTTCAGGTTGGTCTATGTATGCGAGATAAGTCCTAACCTGGACTTGAGTGCACATTAAGATGGGATAGTGGTATGATCAAAAATTACAAGTCAGAAGTAATCGTGTACATGACTAACATATGATGTAACCACACTTAGTGGAGACCCACTTGATGGTATTATTTGTCATTGCGAGTAGTTGTAATGGCATTATTATTATTGACTTAGTAGTCCGAGAAGCTGAGGACCTTTAGATCTCTTTTACCCCTCTTAGCCTCTTAGGATGTAGTGCGGTGATTATCCAGGTGTAGACCTGAGGTAGTTGACATACGATGCTACACTCAGACGAGTTTTTCTTGTGAATATTATTGGCCCGTGCAAGTAGTTGTGCAAGTTGATAGTATCCAAAAGAGGATCGGTGACTCTGGGAACCATGTTAGAACCCGTTGTGCAGGTGCTTTAACCCTAGTACACACCATGTGGTTAATTCTTCACCCAAACTCCATGCTTGAGATCCTGAACCTTTGATCATGTTACTTGTGTTATGCATCCTATGTTGCATGACATGGCATATCATTTGCATATTTTGCATGATTCATTTTATACATCCAGTTTGTCCAGCAACTCATTTCAGTTGTCTCTATCTTCCTCGTCAACCTGATTCATTGGTCTTCATCCAGTTTGTTAGTCGTTAACCTGATTCCTCGTTATCGATACAGGACTAAAGCTAACTTCAGACACAGAATGTCAGAGCAAGAACAATACAACACAGAGATCAGAATAGAGATTGATGATCTAAAGTCAGACATGACTAAGCTTACTAAGATGCTCCAAGTCCTGATTGCCAAAGGAGAGCAACCGTAAAGAATTGTTATCCAGGAGGTTTTAGGTGTTGTTACTGATCCTCAGCCTGTCCAGATGCCACCTTCTACATAGCTAGAGTTTGGTTTACCCCACAACTATTATCCACCTCTTGCTACTACTTCTATGATTGGTCAAACTGCCAGACCAGTGTTTCAAGCTCCTATTTTCTCCGAACCCAGACCTGTGGTTCATACTATTGCCCAGACTGCCCGAGCTCCCTATGAGAATCCTCTCCTTTGAGTACAATGCTGCTAGTGCTCAAGGTGAAGATCGTCAGGATTTTGTTGAACCTGAAGATTTCCATGAACAGTTTTAGACTATAGACAAGAGACACAAAGCCGTGGAGGGTATTGATTTCTTCAATGTTGATGCGGACAATATGTGCCTCTGTTTCTGACCTTGTCATGCCTGCCAAATTCAAGATTCCTGAGTTTGTAAAATACAAAGGTCATTCTTGTCCAAGAGCTCATCTGGTTATGTACTTTAGAAAGATGGCTGCTTATACCAACAACCAAAAATTGCTTATCCATTGCTTTCAAGACATCTTGAGTAGAGCTTAACTCAAGCGGTACATGAAACTTGAAAAGAATGGTATCCAGTGCTTCTAGGATCTTGTTAATGCCTTCATGAATCAATACAAGTACAATCTTGACATGGCTCCTGACCGTCTTCAACTCCAAAATATGTCTCAGAATGAGAGAGAATCTTTCAAGAAGTATGTTCAACGCTGGAGAGAACTAGCTTCTCAAGTTGAACCCCCTCTGGCAAAGAAAGAACTCACAGGAATGTTCATGGGAACTTTGTCTCCCTTCTATTGGGAAAAGATGATTGGTAGTATTTCCTCCAACTTCACAGATTTGATGACCATTGACCAAATACTCAAAGAAGGTGTCAAGAATGGTAAAGTGTCCAAAGCTGCTGAATCTTTTAATGGTGTGAAGAAATCCCATGGGAACTTCCAGAAGAAGAGAGAAGACTAAACCAATGCTATTTGGATTGAGGAGAGAAGATCTCATCACAAACCTCAGTATGCTAATCATTTTGTTATTGTTGTTGTCACTCCTGTGGTTGCTTCTCCACCAATTCGAGCTCCTCAACATCCAACTGTTGGACAAAACCAAAACTGCAATAGGACTCACTTTGATCCTATTCCCTTTACATACACTGAATTGTACCCTTCTATGGTTCAAAGAGGCTGGATTAATACTAGGGCTCTACGTCCTCCTCCAGATCCTATTTCAGTTGATTTTAGGTTTGACCTCCATTATGCATTCCATCAAGGTGTCGCGGGCCATGATTTGGAAAATTTCTATGCACTGAAGGATATTGTGCGGGATTTAATCAAAGACAAAATTCTCACTTCCCATGATGTTTC